TAGCAATTTGATTCGTTCAAATCGGTCGAGAAACGACCGAGATATGCAAAAATCTCCCTTGTTTCTCCTCCTCACCGCCCACGCACTCGGCGCCGTTTCCTGTCCACATTCATCTGCCCTCCACGTAGCGCTGCAATCTCCTCCACTACCCTCTGCTCTGCATCGCTGCCTACGACTTAGTAGTAACACACAGCCTCACAGTCGTGCACTAGCTCTCCCCGTGGCTCCGCTGAGGGTGAGCGCCCCTCTCTCTCTCACTATCTCTCCCGTATACTACCTCTCTCTTTCTTTCACCCCCGTCTCCTTCGACCGCACCTGGCACACCTTGCTGGCCAGGTTCGGCCTTCTTCTCGCTAACCCACTCTGCCCCGCAGTGCTGTTCACCCGCTATTTGTGCAGGCATCCGGCGTTGTTGTCCGACCAGGTTCACTCCCTCGGCCCCCTCCCCTTATTCCTTTGCGCTATTCCGCCCGTCGTCGTTAAGTCCGCCCATCGCTGCTAGTCCGCCCGTCACTCCACCATCCCGGCCTTCACCTTCACCAGGCTCGATACTTTGACCGGGTTCATCCTCCCCGTCATCTACCACCTTGGCCCACCCCTTGCTGCCCTTGCTGCCCTCATAGCGCAGCGTCCGGCGCTCAGCTCGGTGGGGAGGGGAGAGCAGCGGCAGCCCACAACGGGATGCAATCAGCCGAAGGTGTCGGCTGCCCCTACCTTTATACACGTCGCCCCTGCGCAGGCCATACTAGCCCTCTTTGTATTGTCCCAATTACAACGGATGTCTTGAAGGACCACAGCTTCGAAGCAGTGCCCGGTTGCCTGCACTGTCTCCATAGAACTAGGCAGCCGGGTCTCACTGCAGATCCCGGCCCCGGTGCCGGGTTTCATCCAAATCGAAAAAAGGTAGATAAAAAAATAAAATTTAACTCACAAAAAATATATATATATATATATATATAAACAAAGAACGGAGGGGGAAGGGGACCGTTCGTACCTGGTCCTACCCGTTATCTGGGTTCAAGTACGGCCTGTAGCTCAGCAGTTCGTGGTGTTCCCACTGAGCCAGGCCTTTAGTACTCACGGCCGGTCCTGAGACCGGTACCTGGCCCCGTTCCACCAGAGGAAATACGTATATATCTATAAAAATCAGGAAAATAGAAACTTTAAAAGGGAGAAGAAAAAACTTTCACCATAATATACAACACTAACAAAGACCCGGAAGGGGGGGGGTCTATTGGCATTCGGTCCTACGCCCTGGCCAGGCACCTGCCCACTCCCTTTATTTCACAGGTGGGCCACGTCAACTCCCCCTTCATTGCCCCAAATCCCCCTTTTTTTTTTTTTTTTCTCTTTTTCTTCACTGTCCCGAAGGACCAAAAGGAAGTTCCTACAATGAGGCTGTGTAATATCAGATCCGGAACAGGATCTGCATATCAGTAGTTCATTGGCTTATCACTTGAGGTGAGCCCCCTGGTCTGTCCCATGGGCCGGTCCACTTTTAACTCAGGCCTGTGTGTCATCAACTCAAGAGTGTACCAGCCGAGCTAGCTCATACAGCCAGCGTTGTGGGAAGTGGCACCGCTCCTTCTCAGGAAAAATCCAGGACTGTAGTGTTTCACTGATCTATCTCATGTGGGGCCCACACTAGGGTCTGTACTTCAACAGTTCAGTGGTGTATCCACTGAACAGGCTGCTGGGCGCCGCTGCAGGCCCCAGCACCGGTATAGGTCCTCATTCCCAGATAGGAAAAGTAGCAATAGAAAAAATAAAAAGCAAAAATAAAATTAAAAAATATATATATATATATAAAATTCACACTCAAAAATAAAAAGGGGTAAAACCAGATGTGGGAGAGGACCGTTGGTACCTGGTACCCCCCGCAAAAAGAGAAGGGGGATAGTCCCGCGGGACCCTCCACCCCTTGGCTCACGCCATAGTGCTCCTTCGCTGCTCCACTGCTCTACGCTGGCCTCAATCCCGAGATTTGCCTAGTGAAAATTCAATGACGTAACCTATAGGGCTAAGCCCCAGCCTGGAGGTAACAGGCGCAGCCCTCCATATGAAGAGTATCCGCCGCATGCCCAGGCCCTTACGAGTGTGCCAAGGCCACCGCTTGGCTCACCCCTCAACCTCAGGGCCCCGCAATGTCGCGTTCCGCTGCCTCGCGGCCAGACGCAACTTGGGTCACCACGCGCGTCACCCCTATATGCCATGGTCGCGGCCCGAGGCTCTCATAGCCTTACCGCTGCCTCCGCCGGAGGGACCCTGCCCGTTGGTGCCATCCTCTCATCAGGATAGCGGCGGCCCCTACTGACGAGGCCTGGTCAACCCAGTGTCCGCGATAGTTTCACACGGCGCCGCCCGGAGCGTCGGCCTCTAACAATTCAGGCACTATATCCCTCCAAGCACAGTCTTACTTGGTCAACTCTACGCCGCCCGGAACTTCGTCCGAGCGTGCGTGGCTACACCTACCCCCACATCCTAGCCTAATGCCCACTTATTCCACTGGCGTCTCATAGGCTTCCTCGGTCAAGGTACGGTCAAGCTAGTGCGTGCCCACAAGGTGCACGCTAACACACTCCCTAATCAACACAACTGGGACACGCCCGTAGATGCCACCAGAGACATTTTTCCTGCGAGATGCGAAAACGTGCCCAAATACCCTTGTAAGGGTATTCGGGCCGACAACTTTCCGGACCTTATTAAGCGACGTCCCCGTCGCGTCGGATAATCATCGCTATAAACACAAACACATCTTGCTGACAAGGAAGCGACCAATCCGGTTCACGGACTCGACTCCGTTTGAGGTTGTCTTATCAATCTGCCCCCGTTACGGCGTTCCTTTGCCAGGGTTTCAACCTGGGTCTCTCACGTCCTGGCCTCGGAGCTAGGGGATACTTTGTTCCGTACTACAGCATACTACCCGCTCCGAGGTAGTAGGTTGATAGTCCTCTCCCTTCGTCGTAGACCTCTGCCGGCTCACCGTTGGGTGTCCTGTATAGTCATCGTCCCGCGAGCGGGGTCATAACATAGCACGCGGGCCCTAACCGAGACCTCTCAAAAATACAGGGCGCCTTCAGCCGCCCACATGGTAGTGTCTACCATCTCAAAGCACAACGAACGCCGAGCCTGGAGTATAACACAAACGGCTTCAGGTCTCCATCTTGGCCCACCATAGACCGGTCGATCACGCTGAGTGCACGGCCCACCGCGTTGTTTATGTAGCGATGGTGCCCTCGTTGGTTACGCAACGATAAGCAGCTTTCCTATCTTGGCACCCAAAAAGGATCCTGACTCCTGACCTAATCGACCCCAATGACCTTTCCTCTAGCTAAGCCTCTCCGAGTGGCCGACCCTTCAAGACTTAACCTTTGGTAAGTCATGGTCCCGCTGCCAGGTTGCGTCGGTCAGCGGCCCTCGCTGGGAGTTAGGTCCTACAGTTCCAGCGATGCTAAGTATAGCCTCTTAGCTCGGCCTCACAAGACGTCCCTTAGACTGACTCCACTGTGGTCCGACACTTTCTTCCAAAAGTCTTCAGAAATAACCAAAGGATCACATACCCCTGCCCACGGGACTACGGGGAGGGGTAGTGCCTTTATTAACATTCCAACAAAAATCCTCAGTATTTCCACAGGGTCGTGCCTCCCTTACTTTGATCAAAAGCAGGTAAGGTCACATGCCTTTTAGGGATACTCACAGTATTTTCCAAAGTTCCAACATAACTGCCAGAAGTTTCCATCCATTATGCACAAAACATCCGGTCTTTCCTCGTCAGACTTTTACATACATACAAATATTATCATCACTATAGCAGCTCTTTTGAGTGCTCTCACAAAACTTCATCCTTTTAAGAAAGCCCAATCGGCCATTGGACTTCCCTCTTTTTTTTTCAATCATACAAAAAAAACACACAACTTTTAGTTGTGACCATTCCATTCATCATTATCTAGGCAAAATACATCATGTCATCATTGTCTCCATAATCTGAAAACACTTCCTTCCATTATACTCCCGGCTCCACTTGTCATGGGGACAGGGAGCCGTAAGTACAGTGGAAGAAACGCAGATCAGTTCATTCCACAATATTCATCTCATCACACCATCATCCATACGGGCAAATCCACAAACTGAGAGTGAGAGTGATACGACATACACAACATAAAGACAAGGTTTGATAATCGCGTGTACACCCAAGACATGGGGCCCCGCATTGTGCAAAGGCTCCCGTCCTTATTATATAACTTAAAATATTATACAAGGAGTTCAGGTATCCCATAAGGAATGAAGGTAGTCAAGCGTCGAAGTATCGGGACTCGACGACCGCTCCACACTCATGAGCGTTATTCTATAAGGGTATTAACACTCTACATCATATGAGAAAAGAACAATAGTCAGACTCAGTGTTATCTTATGTACGAACAAAAGTTCTCAAGTCTATAATGTGATGCAACATCTCACTACTAGCTCAGCCTACTGATGTACACGGGTCTGATCCAATCCTCCATGTATCCCTCTATATACAAGTAGCCATCAGTCTGAGAGTCAGAAAAATCCCGCATATGTTAGACTTTAGACCTTTCCGGACCTTATTAGAAATTCCTATTCCTGATCATTCATGACCTCCTGCAGCTGCCTATACAACTGCGCCCTTACCCCATCACGAGTTTTCGGGACTAGGTTTCCATTTCTATCTCTCCACACCCCTGATGAATCTCTGGTGCACAATCCATTTGCCTCATCCTTAAGGCTCTTGGGGAAGTCATCTGATCGATGTTTGCCCCTCTTGCAATAGAAGCACTTGCCAAGCTTCTTCTGAGACATCTTCTCTCCTTCCAGCGAGGGTACAGATGACGGGACCGTTGAGGCCTTGCTTGTGACCTTCTGCTGTGGGAACTCTGAGGAAGTGGGGCAGGCTGCTCTATCCCCTGCCCGTAGCACCTGCTCCCCAACACACCCCTCTGGACCTGACCCAGTGGCCCAAGATCCCAGTACACCTCGCAAATCTGTAGCAACTGGCACCTCTTGAAGCATGGTTGACTCCTGATAGTCCCTCAGGTCCACTCTCTACTCAGTCCCAACCATGGTCTGGCCCACACTTTCCTGACCCTCCTGCTGTCCCGCAGCCTCTTTCCGAATAGTAGGTGGAACCTCCCCAACTCTCATTGCCTCAACTGGTGCTCTCTCCTGTGGTACTGCCGGCTCGTGTCCCAGTGTCAGGCCAGCAGGTAACCTCCACTCAAACTCTCCGAACTCGGCACCCTTTTCCACAAGCACTCCTGGCTGCTCTAACATCTCTTTGTCGATCAGAGGGATCTCCTCACCCTCCTGCTGGTCCGCCATCTCTACTTCCTTTTCCTTCTTGAAGACCTCCTCTGCAGGTTGTCCCCTGATTTCAAACTTTTGGACCTCTGTCCAATCCACCACTCTTGTGGGAGCTTGCTGGGTATACTTGGCTTCGAGGTCTCGAATTCTTTTCTCCCACTCAGTCTCCTTAACCTGGAAGAAGGTCAGTTGTGCACACAAATAGACCCTCAGAGCGTCAGTGACCTTGTTAAGGGTCTGATTGACTTGTCTGACGGCCTCATTCTCTGTTGAGACTCTCTCCATGTCTGCCTTTACTGCTGCCAACTCTTTGCCCTGTCTGTCTAGTTCTCTCTTCAGGTCCCCAACCTTTCTCTCCCAGTCCACCCTCTGGCCATAAGCCTCTTGTGCCACCTTTGTCAGCCTGTCCCCAATCTTCTGATCTGAGTTCCTTGCTGCGGCGAAGCCTTCTCTCACCACGCTCCTAAGGTTGAGCAGGTCTGTAGAGACCAACTTAACCCCCATCTCCTGATGTTGACCTCCTGACCTCCCTGCGGCATCCAATAGCTTGTCGAACCCCATCCAGACCTCTGAGAACAGAGGAGGGTCCTCCTCCTGAGTGCAGATACCCTTTCCTTTTTTGTCCTCTACCTCCTCAGACGCCTTCCCTTGCTGCATCTTCTCATGCAACTCTGCAAGGTTCTTCATTCGGAGCTGAGGCCTGATCTCCAGCTCCCTTGCTGCCCTCTCTTTTCTGTCCAGCTCCTTTTCATCAGCAGACGATTCCACTCTCTGTTCCTGCACTTGCGGCCCCTGAGGCACGTCCGACTCCATATCTGGCATAGGGTGATCCACCTTCCTCTTAGTAGGTTGTGGAGGTGCGCCTGGACCCCCTACTCCCTCAGTCTCCTCTTACTTGTGAGACTTGTGTTCCCTCACTTTTTCCTCCCTCTGAGCCCCTGGTGACGCGCCCTGCTCAAAGGTTCCCCCTACCTTTGTCCCAGGTTCCCTTCTTCTTTTTTCCACACCTCTCCTCTCACCTGCCTGACGAGCTGGAGTATAATAGTTTCATAGCAACTTCTTGCAGTGCCCCCAGTTCATGGCAGATGCCACAATGGATCGTACGAAGGGTCTGATATGGTGTCTCACAAACGACAGGAAACTCCCCACTCTCTGCTCTCCTGGGATACCAAGCTCGTCCGCATATCGATCATAAGCCCATAAGAACTCCCCCAGATTAGTAGAGTCGAATCGAATGGGCTGTCCATCCTTTCCCAGTGGTGACGGATGCAAACCCTCCATCCTCCGTCCAAAGTCTTGCCAACTCAGCGACTCTCTGACCAGTTTAGCAATAGGGTCCGCCCACTCGTCTGTGCCTCGCACCTCTCTCAACATCCTGGTGTTGTCCCATCCAAACTCTCTCGCATGCCGCTTGAACTCCATCAGGAACAGCTCAATGTTCCCTCCCTGGAAGACTGGAGGTCTGTCCTCTCTCCTGGTCCTCATTTGCGTCCTCTGTCGAGTTGCCCCCAAAGGGGTTTCCACTGGCCCTGCCCCTCCCCTCCCTCTTGGCATGGCTGCCCCAAGCGGTATCAAGCCTGCACAACAGGGAAGAGGTGAACAGAAGCACACAGAGGGTAAGCGATGTCAGACAAAACACATCAGGAGACAGACATAACCCTCCCACACCTATCTCAACTACCTACCTACGCGCACACACGCATACATAGTCATACACACATGCAAGTCTAACCACAACCTATCACGTTATTCTACTGAGGGCAGCACCTGAAGTAATCACGAGATGACTCTAAGTGGTGAGACCCCTGCTCACCTCGTCCCGAGCCACAAACTTTTTTAGCCTCGAGCCTGACACCCAGTCCTTCCATGCCGTCCCATTCAACTCTTCGATTTGGTAGGCACCATGTTCACCACATCTGGTGACCCTGTAAGGCCCCAACCACCTCTTATCCAACTTCCGCGACCACTGCTTTTCCAGGGACGAGTCATACAACAACACAACGTCTTCCGCCTTGAGAGGCTCCTTTCTTAGCCTCGCCATCTTGTCCCACCGGAACTTGTCCTTGGTACGGCTGTCCACGGTTCTACTTGCTGCCTCCTCAATCCTGTCCTCAATAACGCCGATCTGTCGTGCCCTCAAATCCAGCAGTTCCTCAAAGGTCAGATCAGTCTCGAGGTCCTGTCGCCTCCAAGTTTTCAGGAAGCTTTCAATGGGAAACGTCGCATGCCTGCCGTACCATAGCGTAGCCGGTGCATAGCCAGTGCTCCTCCTGATAGTGATGTTATCTACGAAGAAAGCGACTCTCAGAAAGTTCGGTCACTGATTAGGCCTGCCACCGTTCCACTTGGCAAGAAGATTTGTGATGGTGCTATGCCCCCTCTCCACAGGTGCGTTGGCCTGAGGGTGCGCTGCAGTAGTGTACTCAGCGATTACCCCATACTTCTTCAAAAGAGCCTTCACTTCTTTACATGTGAACTCAGACCCTCTATCCATCACGAATCTGGACACAAAGGGGTAGCGAAAATAGTACTCTTCGATGCATCGGGCCAATGTCTCTCCAGTCTTCGTGCGAATGGCTCTGCCATCCACAAAACCCGAGAGGTTGTCCCGTGCATCAAAGATGAAATTGCAGTTCCCTATCCCCAACGGCATTGCCAATAGATCCAAGTGCACGACTGCTCCAACCTCACGAACGTACCTTGGGTGCAGCGGCTCCCTGGGTCTGAGAGAAGACCGTTCCTGGCATGGCACGCAAGACTTACAATAGTCATCAATCATCTGCTCCATGCCATCCCAATAGTACAACTCGTGGATCTTCAGGTATGTCATATCCGCACCTCTGTGGCCACCTGCCATACCGTCGTGCAGTGCCGCCATAATGTTGATCTGGCGAGCGACGCCACAGACTACTCTCCTGGGGTCCCTTCCTTTGCTCCTCATGAACAGATGGTCATCCCTCACCAGGAAACTAGGCCTCATCTTCAGAACTTGCGCGTAGGCGTCCCTTTCCCTCATCTCGCACGAAAGAAGCATGCCGAGTTCAAGGTATACCCCCTCATACTCCTCTGCTCGAAACGCTTCCTTGATCTCCCACTCTTCGAAGTCACCATCTTTTCTCTCGTGGATCACGTTGTCACCTCCTCCCGGCTCTATCTCCTCTTCCTGGTTTAGTACCGTATTTCTGACTGTCTCTTCCTGAAGCAGCGCATTTGCCAGCAGGTACACCCCACCTATCATCTTCTCGTGCTTACCCACATGTAGCGCCCCATTTTCAATTGTAAGCGGGTCTTCCTGCAGCTCATACTTGCCTGCTAAGGCCAGCTCCATCATCCAACCTACGCCCGACATTCCCCAAGAATCTTCTTCAATATAGGGTTTGAGGACCAAGTCTGGTCGTCGTACATGTCCCGGAGACGCAAGCCATATAGGTCGCCCAGGAGTAACGTACTTACCCACGGCCAATGCCCAGGAGTTGATGTGAAGTCTCACATCGTCCTCGCTGTCCAAAAATTCGTCGACTGGTGGAGTATCCTCGATCACTCCCTGATGGTTTTTGTCCCAGTCGACTCGACTCAGCCCGTTCGCCCTGTTCTTGTTCCCTGGAATTCGCTCCAACTCGAAGTCGAACATCCAGATGTAGGTCAGCCACCTAGCGATAGTTGGATCTGAAGGAGCAAAGTTTTTTAGGGAACCAGCCAATGCCGTAGCGTCCACCCTTAGTACGAACCTGCTGCCGAAGAGGTAGTTTCTGAAGATCCTCAAACAGTGAAGAACTGCCAAGGTTTCGCGCTTGAACTGAGAGTAGTTCCTCTCAGACGTATTAAGCGTCCGACTCTCGAATCTTAATGGTCGCTCTTCTCCGTTGGGGTCTCGCTGGATCAACACTCCTCCTAACGCAGTCGGCCCTACATCCGTCTCCACAATAAACGGTCTGGTCATCACCGCCGCATGGTCCGGTACCCCCCGTACTAGACCTCCTTCCTCGAACTCTTTCTTCAGGCCTTCTATCACCGATTCTTGCTGGTCTCCCCACTCCCAATCTTGTCCTTGACGCACAAGTTTCCTCAACTGTTCAGTTTTTGTCGCAAATCCCTTAATAAAGATCCTCCAAAACCCACACGTGCCCAGAAAACTTCTCACCTCCGTGATAGTCTGGAATGGTGTTGGCCAGTCGAGAATTTTGTTAGTCTTCTTAGTATCTGGCCGACGACCCCTCTCGTCGCACACAAATCCTAAGATAGTGGCACCACTCATGCAGTGCCTCGATTTTGGTCTACTGGCAGTGAGGTTATGCTCCTTCAAGAGGTCCAGGACCTTGCACAAGTCTTGCACATGATCCCACCCAAAGCACCTGATCCGTGGCACCACCTCCTGCTCGTCCTTCTCTTTGGGCCCTTTTACGGCTAGATCATCAATGTAGGGCTGCGTGATGTGAGGACTTATGGGCTGCATCGCCCTCACCATGTGTCGCTGGACCATAGCGACCGCATTCGTCCACCCCTGCGGTGCGACGTTCGTGTGGATCAGCCCTCGAGGGGTATGCATGGCTGTCATAGGCCGGTCAAACGGGTATACAGGGAACTGATCGTAGCCTGAATACAAGTCAATGAGTGATATGATGGCCCTCCCAGCGCATGCCTTCGAATGCGCATCAGCGTTGGGGAGACCCCCTGCGTCCCTCACCGTCACAGCATTCAGGCGCTGTAAATCCTGTATCCACCTCAGCGTCGCATTGGGTTTGACAAAACAAAACCATGGGGATGCATACGGTCTGCTCGAGTAATCTGCCACATGAGTGTGGATCTTCCCATCAAGGTAGTTGACCACCTTCTCTTCGTCAGCGGGATTAGGATACCGCGCACCTCGCAAGTTCCACGGTTCGTGGGGTACGGTATGTATCATAATCATTGGGATAATATCCACGATCAGTCGGCCTCTCTCATCATCACTGAAGGCATATGCAGCATGCCTCCTCTTATGGTGTCCACCACAAATTTCTCCTCCTGCGCCGTAAGAAAGTCAGGCTCCCTTATGATCAGCGCCTTCTCTGTCTCGGCATTGATACGGCATGGTCCACTTTCTGTCCTTTCTCGCATCTGTCGTATCAACTTTCGCTCCCGCTTGTAGTATACCTCCTGTTCTTCAGTAACGGGTACGGGAACGGGGCGGCACTTTTGGTCTACCCTTTAGTACCGCCTTTGGGCGCCCTGCTTGAGCCCACCCCTAAAAAAGGTCGATTGCGCTCTGGGGTTGCGCTCCACTCTCTCCACCTGTCTGACCAAATGTTCGATATACCAATTTCATCTCTCCTGTACCCATTTGCTCTACTACCTTCTCTCTCAAGGCCTCCACAGCCTCAGGATCCGCCATCCCATAGGTCGATACTATGTCCATAGCGTCGCCTATGTTCGCCAAGCTTAGAATCAGCGCCTCTGGCTCCCTTACCTCCTCAAGCCTGCTGTTCTCAATCCTTAACCTTTCTTCTTCTGATTCTTCGATTGTGAACGAACCGGGGTTAGGCCGGTTCCTTACACTCTTGGGTCCTGTGTTCTTGCAGGTGATGACCTCGTAATTCCCACATACGGGGTCGCACAGGACGAGGAACATAGTTCCGTCATGTTTATTGAGGATGACCATCTCGGTCCTGCTCAGGAACGATCTCCCAAGTAAAATAGGGTGGTCCAAGTCAGGCATCACAAAGAAACAGCTCCTTACTTTCACCTTTCCAATTTCCAATATTACTGACGACGCGGTCCCAATGAATATCGATCGGCTATTGGTCCCCATCAAAACCCCGTTGTCGGAGCAAGCTATCTCCATTCCCAGCCGTACGGCATGTTTCTCCTTTATGAGGTTCATTTTCGCTCCACTGTCCACCATTGGGGTGCATGTCTTCCCTCTTACCACAACGTCAAGGCAGCCACAGGCGACAGACTTCCACTCCATCTTAGTACCCGTTTCAACCCACTCCGCCTCCTTAGGGATTATAGTCCCCAATCGTATGCTGGCTACCATCTTCCTGAATAGTCTTGCTCTGAACTCATCCCTAAGTCTAGGCGCTGAGGCTAGTACGTCCTTCAGGTTCATAAGGTGATTATGACCCTCTAGGATTCTGTCCATTATCTTTTTCACATCGAAACCTTCTTCCACTCGGACAACGTACTTCTTCTTCTTTACTTCTTGTGCCTTGTCTGTATCAGGCCTGGCACCCCTCTTCTTGGCCCTTTGCTCGGCCCTCTCATCCTCTTCCTTCCTCAACCTATCATCTTCGTCATCCTCTCCTTCTGGAACGTCCACTACCTCTTTCTCTCCACTAGGTTCAGGAACATCCTTGGCTGGTTCTTCGGGACTCACTGACCCTTTAGCCCTTGTCCTAACGACATGAGGCGCCCTCCCCATCCTGGAGGGTGGTCTAAAGGTCATTCCGTATCGAGGCGTCGCTCTTGAGGTCGTGACGTTTGGTAGATTCCCGGACCCTCCTTGCGACCCCGGACCTAAGTCGTAGAGGTATACCGATGGCTCCTTACCTTGCCACCCCTTGACTTCTTCGCACATATCAGCCAGCTTCTGTTGGTATCTCTCGACTTTGTCTATCAGGTCCTCTATTCTCTCCATTGTTTGTCGGGCCGTTCTCCAATAATCTTCCCCTGTCTCAGCATGCAGCGGCCTGTTCCAGCAATCTTCCTCAATCTCATCGTCGGACTCCACTGTGATCAGTTCTATCTTAGTGGTGCCTGCCTTCTTTTCTTGCTCCACCTCTGCATTCTCTCCTACCTCCTCCACCTTGACGTCACTACGGACCTCTTTCTCTTGCCATATCCGAAACATGGCTGGAGGTGCGGGTGGCTCACCGGCCTCAGCCCTTCGCAGGGCTTCCTTCCTCGTACCGCCTGGAATCTTCGGGTCAAGGTGGTACCCCCACTTGTCGTACATGTCTCCATCATAGTTGGTGCTAATTAAGCCTTCGTCCTTGTCGTTCCTCCTGACGTGGCAGAACTTAATAGTATGGCCTTTCTGCCAACAATGCCAGCAAATGGCGTTTCTCCAGTCCACTCTCCCTCTGCCAGCACCTCTTCCCCCCTCTTGACCGCCTTGACTCCCGGATGCCGTCCAACCCTCGTTTCCTCCACCTGAAGTGTTACCACCACCATTCCCTCTACCATTTCCTCCACGGCCACCATTCCCCCGTCCTCGGCCCCACCCTTGGTTCTGTCCACTTCCACCCCCTTGATTGCCTTGCGAACCTTGTGGGGCTGACTGCTGGGGTTGGTTTGGTGGTGGGTTCGGGAGGCTCACTTGTTGCGCTTGGGGTCCCGAGCAGCCACAGGAAGCCGCACTCACTGATGGTCCGGCGCACGACCCATGCGGCCCGCTCATTGGCCACGGGGCGTATGAATAGTGCCCATGCCAATGACTCGAAGGTCCACAACCTGGCCATGGCCCATAGTGAGCTGATGCAGCCTGACTGGGCGACTCAGGAGGTGGCATGGCTACAGCTTGGGGGACCTGCCCCTTTCCTGAGCCCTGCCCTCCTTGAGCCAAGTTCCTTGCCTTTCTCTGAACCTTGGTCAACTTCTATGGCTCAGGCTCCTCTTCCTCTTCCTCTTCTTCTTCTTTTTGCACCACTGCTTTTTTTGCCTTCCCTTGGGTCTGTGGTGCGCCCATAGTCTTCCTTTTTGCCTCTTTCTCTGCATCGAGTTGGGCCACTGCATCTTCTATCAATTTCTTAAAGTCTCGTCCGCCGCTCGTCGTGGCGTCCAAGGCCTTTCTTTTCTTCCTAGCCTGTCGCATTTGGAAGATGTCTACTTGGTCCAGCTCTCCTTCTATTACGCCCTCCTTTATGGCGGCCCAAGTAAGCTTCTTTCCCGGCGCAGCCTTCTTGGTTAGCAACGAGGCCTCCCAATTCTTGAAGTGCCCCAGGAAAGTGACACATTGTTCTTCTTCCGCCAATCCGGGGACTTTCTTGGCCTTCTCAAATGTCGTTGCGAAAGCTCCCACCGTGGAGAACTCGTCCCGCTGTAACATCTCCAAATCTGTCTTCGTTAACAAGTCATCCCCTAACTTGAACCGCCTCTGCATTTCTGCCTTGAACTTAGCCCAGTCTCCTCCTGCTCCAGCAGCCACCTTCATTACCTCGGGCCGAGTTTCCCACCGGGCCACGCTCGATTTCATCAGCGTCCGGTATCTTCACCTCTTTTTGCTAACCAACCTGACAGGAGTAACAAGGGATAGATCGGTAAGCAGTTCGTCAAGTTTAGAGGGTCTGCCCTACGTTCTTCTTGACCATCCCACCCTTAAGTTTAGCTACCCGTTCCACCATTAATCATTCGCGCCCTTTATACAACCTTTAATCGCATACCATATCACTCAGTCTTATTATGACGTCATATACAACCCTCCTATAACTTTTTGTCGCTTTGCTTAGATCATCATGCTGCACTTAACCTGGGTTCGTTCTGTTAAGGACCCCGGTAGGCAGCCGAGATCCCCGGCAACGGCGCCACCTGTCGAGCGCATCGGTCTCGCACGGGGACCCTCCCGGCCGCGTCACGCAAGATTATGCAGGACTCGTCGCGGAGAGCGTTTGCCGCTCCGGCCGAGTACGCCAGCCGTACCTCTCGCGAGTCCCTACGACAGGACAGAGTCACGCGAGGCACCGCTACATCCACCTGTGTGTAAGAAAGGCCGAGAAAAGAGGAAGAAAGAGAAATAAACAAAAAAAAGGAAGAATATGCCGCCAGAACATGACCAGGTACGCCCCCTACTCCCAGTCTTCTCTCCTCGCAACCTCTACTAGCTTTAGCGCCCGGCTCTAACAACGTAAGCTCCTTCTCCTCCTCTCACCCTTCCCCTTCCTGATAAGACAAGCACACTAGGCATGAATCTTCTGCCGAGACGCGGAAGGGTGTAAACGTTACTTCTTCGTCAAAACGAGAATGAACCTCCTACTAGAACATGGCCAGGTGCTCTATTGTGAGACGCTCTGCTCCCGCTACCTAGCCTCTCCCCT